TTGAGGATAGGCTCTTTAAATCTTGTAGTCACAGCTTCTAGAAACTTAGAGCAGGGGTCCCTGTGGGGGCCATGGTGCCCACTAACAACTGTTCTGACACCTGCAAAGTGTTTTTAGGAAGTGGGTGGAGGCAGGTACGCCTTTTGCCCAGCAAGGCTTCTGATTGGCCAATGGAGATTTGATTGGCTGTGCAGTTTTCTTCAATGTTGCTTTGGCAGCAGCTGCCACCACAGCACAAAGATCTTCACTGTGAGCCTAAAGTTAAGCTGCAGCAATCATTTTGTGGCTGGCTCTGCCTCCTGCAGCAGCCATTTTGTTGCTGCACCCACCAAGCTGTGTCAGAATTCCGAAGGGGCCCACAGGCTCAAAAAGGTTGGGGACCCCTGCCTTAGAGTCTTTATTTGGAGCTGCCTGCTTGTCGTTCAGAAGCTTATGGCAAGGGACACCATCAAGAAGGAGTTCCTTGTAGGAAGATGTCCAAAATGGGGTCCCTTTCTCCCTTGTTTTAAATAACATTGGTTTTTCTTCCTCTTCTATTTCTCCCTCTCCCTTCCTGAGCCAAAGGAAGAGTTTTTGTCACTTTAGTCTTCCCAGCTTGATGGTCCAAGTGAGACTCTTGGCTATGAGTGGAACTCTTGGGTCTCCTCGCCAGGGTCTATTTGCATATCTACAGCACTGGCTTCCTGGTAACTCGCTTCCCTCATATGCATTTCCTCTGTGTACCTCTTTCTCCCTGCTGGAGGACACTCTTTCTCCCTGACCCTGAGATCATAGCAGACCCAACTTAATATAACCTTGAAATGAATTATGATGGGAAAGGCAATTCACCAAAATGGGTATCAAAGACTGCATGATGACGCAGCAACACATAGAATCCATACCAGGCAGAGATCTGCACATTATTGGCTACACTTGGTGGCCAGCCAAAGCGCGTGGTTGCCAGGACACCAACTAAGTTAAGGGCTGGTGTTGTCTCTCATGTAAAAAATGAGCTTTGGAGTCTGGAGCTGGTGTGGCACAGTGGTCAAAGTGCTGGACTAGGCCTTGGAAGTAAAGGGAAGAAGAGGAAGAAGAGGAGGAGGAAGAGGAAGAAGAGGAGGAAGAGGAAGAAGAGGAGGAGGAGGAGGAGGAGGAGGAGATTGGATTTATATCCTGCCCTTCAATACCCGAAGGAGTCTCAGAGCGGCTTTCCGTTCCCCTCCCCACAACAGACACCCTGTGAGGTAGGTGGGGCTGAGAGAGCTCTGACAGAAACTGCTCTTTTTCAAGGACACCTCTGACAGAACTATGGCTTGCCCAAGGTCATCCAGCAGCTGCAAGTGGAAGAGTGGGGAATCAAACCCGGTTCTCTCAGATTAGAGTCCGTGCACTTAACCACTACACCAAAGTGGCTACGCATTGGCTGCGGTCACACACACTAAATAATGCAGTTTCAATCCACTTTCAAGGCACTGTCCAACTGGATTTCACCGTGTGAACTGGCAAAATCCAGTTGGAAAGTGCACTGAAGGTGGACTGAAAGTGCATTATTTCGTGTGTGTGATCACAGCCATTGAGGCACAGATGGGAGGAAGCCGTGTTAGACTTCTCCGTATCAGGACTCCTCAAGTTCTGGGGAGGAACCACAGCATCAGACAGAAAATCAGAGCGAGATTTTGTGGCTGCCACCTCTCTCCACAGAGGGAACTCTGCCTCAGAAACAGACTGGGCCATGGGAGGAGGGGCTGGAGCAGAAATGTGAAATCCTCAGTTTCATCCAGTCTGGGATCTGTTTGTAACATTAACCGCAAATTGCTTTGCTGGAACTTGCCTGTGTGAAAGACCGTATGCCTCTGAGCAGGGGTAATTTCCTGCTGGAGTGCACAGGAGCGGAGCTCCAGCAGTAAAGAGCCCAGGGGGCGGGCACATGCAACAAGCCCCACCCCCTGCTCCCAGCAGCCCTCAGTCAGAGCAAGAAGCAGCCAGGTAAGTTTCAGAGCCCCACCCCATGCTACCTCCGGTCCAAAACAGTCCAGTGGCACCTTTAAGACCAAGTTTTATTCAGGTACAAGCTCTCCCTCCTCTGTGAGGACAGATCTGCATGTTCTCTCCCCCCCCCCCCAATAGCTAGCAATCCAAAACAGTCCAGTGGAGCCTGAGCGGTGGGTGTTGCCTTCGGACACACTTCCGGTGATGTCAGGGGGTGTGGCATATGCAAATAAGTTATGCTAATGAGTTATGCTAATGAGCTCATGCACCTCTTTTTCTATGAAATGACCCGCTTCTGAGCATATGCAAAATGCTCTTTAATCACCAGCGAGTAACCACTGTCGAGATCCTGTGGACACCTCCCCCAGCATCTGGGACTAGAGCTAAAGGACCAGGTTGGGGTTAACTCCATCCAGGATCTTTCACAACAGAAAAAGAAATTCTTCACTGCAGGAAGGCCAAAGGGCTGAAGGGGCATAAAAGGCAGACAGGCAGGCCTCACACCGAAAGAAAAACCAGATCTATGGGGAAATCTAATAAATTTCAGCCAAAAGACCCGTCTGGATGCCAAGACTGCAGACACTCTGCATATGTACAGAGTACTTTCTCCTCACTACAGAGATACCACACAGTTACCTGCCTGGTATTAGGGGATATTTTCTGGGTTGGAGGGAGATTTGCAGGCGGGTGAAAGTTAGAAAATCTCCCCTTTTCTTATTTAAGGCATTGCTTAATTGTCATCTCCCTTACACAGTCCCCAGTTTCCCCAACACTGTTTTGAATTGTAACCCGCAGTCTTGTGCCCTGCAACGTTTCTTCAGAATGCAGGTATTCTACACTAATTCAGTCATCAAAAGTCTCCCTCTGTATGATTGTAAGCAACTCGCTTCTCTCTGGACAGCAGATGGTATGCAGATCTAGGGCTCCCCATACGACTTCTACACATGCCTGCCAATGCTCCCTCTAAGCTGTGGAGTTCTGTGAACAAAAATTCTACTTTGTGAGCTACTGGCATTAAAGTTGTGAGCGAGCGATTTGGCTGTTGCATAAATTAGATTGCTCCGGAGCCATCCTCCCTGAGCTAGGACAAAAATGTGTGAGCCGGAGGCTAAAAAACTGTGAGCCAGCTCACACTAACTCGGCTTAGAGGGAACACTGAGTAGCTACGACTGCAGTTGTAAATCGGAGACGGGCGGCAATGATTGGCAGTAAAGAGCAACGTTTTGCATTTAGTGCACAGCTAACTTCCCCTTTACCTTTCAGCCTGTTATTAATGCTACTG